GTGCCCACAAGTGTCCATCTGTTGTCATAAACCTGTGGTCACCAGGAGCTATGCAGCACCTTCACAGAGCTGCGACTGTCTCCCATGGAGCGGGGATGGCCATTGGAACCTAAGGATTTCTCTGGAGCTATGAAACTAAGCCTAAAAAGATGACCAAGCAGGCCCTAGGCCCTCAGGAGCTCCTTTAAATATGGGCCTTGTCCTTTGTCAGCCAGCCGGCATGATCGTGGTCAGAGCAGGGCCTCTCAGTCCCGCCAGCTGAAGCATTTCCCCAGTTCCCTTATTCCACTTCACAGCCAGCCTGATCCCCAGCAGGGCTGCACCCCTTTAGCTATTCTGCTTCTCAAGCTAAACCCCTTCTTATTTATTCTTAGTTTCCAATTAAAGTTTTTGCCTATAAACCAGCACTGTTGCCTGCTTTCATTTCCAATATCTCTGAAGCAAGGACCCACGTGGCAGTGGCCCACGTGGCAGTGGCCCACGTGGCAATGACGTCCACTCTGTGAGCAGGCCTGAGGCGGCTGCAGACCACACGGGGCACTCACCCTTTCCTAGAGGAGGGTGCTCCCGGGAGAACGAAACACCAGAACCCTGCCCCAGGAGAGGGCACGGGAAGGGACCTGGGAGAAAAAAATGTCTCCGAAAACTTCCCTCAGAAGCTGACTGCCCTGGAAAGAAAGGCATACAGGAGTATGTCGCCAGGCTGGGCCGAGGCACACCCCGCCGCAGGCTGGAGCCGCGGGTGTCCCAGCTGGGCCTGCGGGGCCCTGGCGATGCAGAAGCCCCGGTGGGGGAGGAAAGCTGCGGGGCGGGAGAGTCCGGCCCAGCGCAGGACCGGGCCCGGAGGGCTGGGCCCCGGCTTCCTCGCCGCCCGCTGTCCTCCCGCTGCCCCTGGACACACGCGGGCCAGCGCAGGCCGGTAAGAGACACTTCTTCACCACGGCTTGCAAGACCTGGGAGGGGCCATGCCCCGCATTCAACAGGGAGAGAAGCTGAGGCTCAGGAAGGAGAATTTCCCTGTTCCCAACTTATTTTAAACACATCTTTTGAGATTCCCCATATGCCCTCCTCTAGCTTCCCCCGCTGTTACCATCTTCTGTTACCATGGTACGTTGTCCAGACGCACGAAGCTGGCGCTGCCACAGGGCTGTCCCCTAACCCCCAGGATTCATTTGGCCTGCACTAGTTTTCCACGAGGGTCCCTTCTCTTCTGGGATCCCATCCAGGGCACCGCAATGTGTTTAATATGAGGTCTCCCCAGTCTCCTCTGCTCTGTGACCATTTTGGGGTTCTTCCTTCTTTCTCACGACCCTGGCAGTCTTCAGGAATTCTGGCCAGGCATCCTGTGGATGTCCCCGGCTTGAGGCTTTGCTCATCTGTTTGGGCATGAATGTCACAGAGATGAAGCACCGATCCTGTCACAGTGCAGGCTTGCATCCTGGGGTTACGGTCTACACCTAGATCTCCCCCAGAGCCTCATGGGATTGTAGGCGGGGCTTCTGGATCACTGAGGCTTAGCGCTGACTTGCTGTGAGGAGGCTGGGCCTGGTGAAGAGAGGTCACCATGGACGTGACCCAGAAGGGTTAATCGCCCCCCATACCACCCTGTTCACTCCCTGCACTTCCTCTCCACCATGCTGTGGGCAGCTTTCCTACGTCAGCCCCTCTCAAGCCACCCTGCCTTGGAGCCAGCTGACTATGGATGGAAACATGAGCCAAAACAAAGACCTCCTTCCTTAAGTTGCGGGCGTCAGGTGCTTGTTCTAGAAGCAAGCCACGCCATGAGAACACCTGGGTCAAGGTGCTGCGTTCCCATGTCCTCCCCTATAGAGCTCTTGTGCCGGTACTTCTGTGTCCCCCCTTGGAAGGAGGTCTAGCCCACCCAGGAGAAAGGTGGTAAGAGTCGAACTAAACCTCAATTCCTAGAAGGAGAAATATCTACTATGTTACATGGTATTTTCTGCAAAGATGTACCTTTCTCTGTGTATTCAGGTACTTACTGACATGTCCATATTGATTGGCGTATATTCATTTTATACCCTGGTATAACCCAGGTATAACTCAGTGCTACATAACTTATTTTACTGCTCAGAGCTTTGGCGCTCGAGAGCTCCTTCCGGCTGGCGCCCGGGCCTTTGGAAGTGTTCCATCTTTTTGCTTCTTACGCAGCTTCTTCTCTTTCTGGTATCCCAAGTGCCCCAGGCTGGTCTCCCTGCCCTGCCCGGGCCCTAGAATCAGCCATCTCGCCCAGAAGTCCTCGACCCTTTTACCAAAGCTCGGCTCTTCGTGCCTGTCACTGCAGTGGTGCTGCCGCCGCCAGATGCCTTCAGCATACAGACCGGTGATGCGGGTGCGCGTGCCCTGCGTCGTGTCTGCGCTGCCCACAACTATTCACCTGGGACGTACTAACCTTCAGGCTGCTGCCCTTGCTCTAGTCCAGTTTCAGGATTCATTCCAGGCTTTTTTGCTTATCTGTAACCTTCTTCTCTGGCAGTGTAGACAACCTGGCCCGCCACCTGGCATTCATTTGCTTACCCGTTCACTTTGGGCACTCCGTGGCACAGTCTGAGATCCCTGGCCTGTACCCTGTGGGAAACAACTTTCCCGACTACAAGGATCTCCAGAGTTGTCTGGGTGAGCCCTTTCTGTCACCAGCCCCTGACAGCGCAGGTGTCCCATGCATCTGGAGTACGCGTTGTGTCCTTTTACCAACGCACTGCTTCCTGGCTCCAAACGCGTGTTTCAGTAAAACATACTCATGCGTTGCAGAAACAGGGTTCAGTCAACAATGAGCCTCACAGGCGGCCACTGTGCTCCCGTAAGACTATAACGGAGCTGAACATTTTGTACCACCTAGGGACGCTGTAGCTACTGTAGCTGCTTTGGTGCACCACTATGTTTGTTCGGTCTGGTACAAAATTCTCCAATCGCTGGTCCTTTGCAGAGAGCACGATGCTAAAATTAATCAGTAGAGGGCGCCAGAAGGCCATTACAAAAGGAAAGTGGTCGCTGCAGCCTGCAATGGCCAGCAGGGGGCAGTGCGGCCGTGCATCTGCCTTCCACGGCATTACGCAGGCTGCCTGGACTGCAACCCTTGGAGGCTTGAGCTGCGTGACCTGCCTGCCCGCTGGCCACATCCCCGTCTAAGCCTCGAGGCCCGTGTATCCAGCTGTCGTACCTCCTGCCAGCATCCGCAGGCTCAAGGCTCAGGAGCCCATGGCCCTGCGGGATACCGCATTCTGCGTCCCAACTGCCTGCTAAACTACTCAGCCTGGAGGTTGCCATCCCCCTGCCTCAGCCTCCCAGAGTGCTGAAATTACAGGTGTGCACCACCAGGCCTGGGTCAATAGTATTTAATATAATTACCTTACACTAAAATTGGTATCATATACTAAAAATTGTTTTGTTGCTTATCTGAAATGCCAATTTACCTAGGCCTCCTCGATTTTGTTTTCTTTGCTCACCTCGACTGCCCTGGTCAGGGGGTCTAACGGCCCAGCCAGATGCTTTGGAAGCCCCTGACTTCCAGCCCGGCCTGGAGGACACTCAGAGCCCCGCCAGCCTGAGCCACAACCCCACTGCCGCCCCCTGGACAGAAAGCAAGAGAGTTTGTCAAGAAGCCTTCAGCGTACAGTGTCAGCTTAGAGGACGCTAACACCACAACCACGTGCACTCTGTGGGCACAACAAGGATTAGAAAGCGGGAAAAACAAGCATGTTTTCTAGTAACAATAGGAAGAAAGGACCTAAGAATACATCTTAACAAAAGATGTTGGAAATTTTTATGGAGAGATTTAACTTTATAACAGATATCAACAAGGCCCAAGCCTCTCCCTAGAGGAGAGCTAGGCTGTGTCTGTGGATCAGATGTCCTGAGAACCAGGACCCTCCCAGGGGGCTGCCCCTCTCCCTGCACTCAGTGTCTGTCACTAGGTCTGGGCCAGCCGCAGACAGGAGACTGTAAGTCTCTTTGTTTGCTGTGTTTTTACCTCATTTTGAGCCTGGGGGGGTTCTTCAGCTCCTCTGGAGCAGCGGATTCAGTGGCCCTGCCGCCCACCCCTCAGCGGGTCCCTCTGGTCCACTGTACAGCCCAGGCAGGAAAAGCCTGGGGAGGAAGGAAGGCTTCCTGGACCAAATTCACTTTCAGCTTAAACATTAGCCCAGAACCAGCACGCTCAGGTCAAATGCAACAGGATAATGAAGCTTAGCTTGTCCTGCGAGACAAGCTGAGTGCCATCGCGCCCCGGAAGCTGTCTCGTGAGGTTGTCTGGAACCCTGAGCCATTCTCCTAAGGGAAACACGGAGTTGGGTGTCCACCAGCTCTGGTCACAGTTGGGTCACCTGCTGAATCCATGACCTTGTTGCTTCTGCTTAAAGACGCCTGCTAGGATACCCTGTTGATTCAACCCTGCACTCACAGCAGGCGGCAGCCCAAAGGCGTACACAGCACTCACACTTCTCCTGGAAAACCCACCCCTGCCCGCTGGAGCCCGACAGCACATGCGCGTTGTACCCGGCTGCATTAGATGCTAAGGTCACTGGCAAAAAGCACACAGAGGCAAAGGAGGGGGCAAAGGTGGCCACACAGGAAGGTGTACTCCTTGCAAGATGACGAAAACAGGCAGAGAGCAGATGGAAGCAGAGGAAGAGAAACTTTTAAAGGGAGAAAGATAAACCAAAGGAGAGATGTGGAGAGGGCTCCCTGAATGTAGTTAACTCATAACTGAGCAAATACAGTTAAGAAACTGAGCCACTAGGGGTGGGAGACTGGACAGGAGTTACCGGCCGCCAGGACATGGGGCACAAGTTCAGTGGACAGGAAGGGCCCGGTTGCCAGTGGGGACAGAAAATCCCACCCATTCTCTTCCTTCCTGCACTCCAGGAAGGGTGGCCTTTCCCCCTGGAAAGCAGCCAGTGTCACAGGTTGTTGACAGGGGGACAGGAAGACCCACCCTGCTAAGGACAGGTCCTTGTGGTGTGAACGCCCAGTCTTGTCTGCCTCCCAGGGGCGTGGCCAGCTCCAGGCCTACCACATTGTCTGCCCCTTTTTCCTCCTCCACAGCTGCTGGCAGGAATGGAGTGATGGTAAGGCCCTCTGCACAGGGAGGGTGGCCCTGGTTTTGTCTGGGAACAGTGGCCTCCTGTCTGCCCGGGGACTTGATGCCCCATTCCTGCCCACATGATGATGGCTGTAGGAAGACGCAATTGGGGTCTCCATCAAAACCCTAAATTATGAGTCTTTTAAGATTCCCCATGGAACTCCCTGTTCCTGTTGAATTTAGGAACAAGTTCAACTGACCTTTGTCCTTGGGTCACAGGCCTGGTCCATGCAGGCACAAATGACCTTTGTCCTTGGGCCACAGGCCCTGTCTGTGGTCCCAAGCCAGCTATAGCAAGGAGCAGGCAGCTGGAGCCCTCACTGCTGCACCCCTGGCCACGCATGACAGCCATGGATCAGGACGCGGAGGAGTGGGAGCAAGTGTTCCAGGAGTTAATTCGGGAGGTAAAACCATGGCACAGCTGGACCCTGGTGACAGACAAAGAACTTCTTCCCAATGTCCTACAGCAAGGCTGGGCACAGTTCCAGCAGAAGACCTTCGCCAGGTGAGTGGGGAGGTGAGGGACCCGTGCAACAAGTCCATTGTGCACTCCCGGTTGCACAGAGGTCAGGGAGGAAGGAACCCCCGGTGTGGGCTTCCTTAAAGATGGCCCCGCTCCTACTTAACAGGAGCTGTGGTGGGCACCGCTGTGAGCAGCGCCACAGTATACAGAACTGAGGCCACAGGACTGCGGCAGGCAGGGAGGGTCAGGGGCTGTTCGCTTGAGCTGTGGCACTCCCCTGTGGGGAGCCCAAGGCCACCAAGGAACCCTAGAAAAGATCCCACATGAAGGAGGCCCTGGGGAAGGACTGGAGTCGCAGGGACCGGCGACTTGCAGCAGCCTGCCTGAGCAGCAGAATCTTTGCAAAATGGGCTCCGAGGTCACCCAGCACTTCACCTGTGTCTCCTCTGGTGGGAGTCAAAGGGCAGAGAGTGGAGTCCCAGGGTCTGCCCTGCCTGCTGCCCCTTACGAAGGGGTCTCAGCAGAAGAGGAGACAGTTTCCCAGGCCAGTGGCTGGCATCAGGATCCCCAGAGCAAAGACTCCATCTGTTTATCTGGGAGAATGTGGGGTTCGATGCTCATATGGAGCAGAAGCACAGTGTCCAGGCTAGGGCAGCTCTCGGCAGCCCACGTGAGTCCCAACAGCTGGCCTCAGAGCCTCGCAGCATTCAGGTGCCACCCCTCTGTGCATCCTGGCCTTGGTCCTGCAGGGACCTGCTCCGCCAGGCCCTGCCAGAACTCTGTTGCACGGCAGGGTCCCTGACTCCAGCCACACAAGGCTGGGCGCAGCTGCTGTAACAATAGGCCCAGAACTCAATACAAGGTACAGTGCCTGAGGTCACGGAGGCAATGGCAGAGGCAGCCAGTGAGGCTGAGGAAGGAGCCGAATCTCTGCTGCCCGCTGCCTCCTGATCAGCTGGCCCTGTGGCCCCAACCCAGCTCCAAGTGGGAAGAGAGTGGTTCACCCTGACCATTCAACGTCTCTGCCACTCCACTGACCTCTTCTGGACTCTGCTGTCTTTATCTGTCCTAGCAGCTCCTTGTCCAGGTATCTTAGCCCAGAGAACCACAGTGCCTGGTTGGAGGTCCAAGCGTTCAGGATGGGAAATTCTCCAGGCAGCCTCAGACAGAGCCATGGGGGTCATCAAGCAGCAAAAGGAGAGGTGGAGACAACAGCGACCTCTGAGGCCACTCGCTCTGGCCAGGGCACCTGGGGCAGCACAGGAGTGATGAGGCTCCCTCGCTCATCGGTGGCTGTGATTAAACAGCATCCACTTGAGGGCTTCAGTACAGGATTTTGGGGAGCTGTTGCACTGAGAGGCTTTGACAGGCTTTGTTCTATGTGAGAAGGAAGCTGGCTTTGGGGACCAGAGACCGGTGCCCCAGTCCTCTCTCTGGCACCTACTGGGCTGTGGGATGCACAGAGCTTCCAGTAACCGAAGGGAACAGAAAGCAAAGGGCTGTGTAGTGTCCCCCACCAGCCTGTGCCGTTGAGCCCGAGGCCCTCGTCCTCTGCCCCTGCAGGTTCTGCTGTTCCTCCTGCCTTCGCAGCTGGTCCTCCGCCAAGGTCCAGGTTCTCTTTCACGTGCACTGGAGTAAGAAGAAGCGCCGTGGCCAGGTGAAGATGAGGGTCTTCGCCCAGAGGTGTAAGAAGTGCACGGAGTCTCACTTCGAGGTTCCTGAGCTCACGCCAGAGAACATCAGGCGGACCCTGACTAACCTGGTGTTCAGCATCCTGAGGAAATGCTACAAGGAGGGCTTCAAGCCCATGGAGGAGCTGCCCCCCGTCAAGGACACAAGCCTCGAAGGCCCGCACGACAGTCTCAACTGCGAGGCCTGTCTGCAGGGCTTCTGTGCCCAGAGTGGGGGGAACCTGGTCCCACAGTCGTCAGGGCCCACCTTGCTGTCCACCCCCTCCAAGGACACCAGGATGCCCGGGGTCATCACCATTTATAGCCGCCGCCACTGCTCACCACCTCCAAAGATGGAAAAGCTTCTTGTGTCAAAAATGACACCCAAGGATCTGAACCTTCCCAAAGCTGAGTCCAAGCCCAGCCACACCTCAAAATCATCAGCTGCTCTAACATACCCAAACAAAGAGGTGTCACCCACATTAACAGTGACCCCCAAAGTCCCTCACCCTGTCAAGGTTGACCCTAAGG